ATATTCATCAGACATGGTCAGTTATATATTGCTTTCTCTTGAGTTCAAAGAGCATGTGGCAAAGTTAAAGTTGTAAATACTTCAACCCAAGGGAAATTAGTCAAGCATTCTGAAAGTGTTTTACTCTTATGTGGAATACAGGGAGATATAAGAAAAAGTTTAATCAATTTAACAGTCATTGTTTTTATCACTGTTGGTTTTTTTTTAATTTAATAAATCTTTACTGTCCAGATTATTACAATTGTTTCTTCTTTTCCCCCCAATAGGTCCCCTCCAGACGTTCCCACTCCACCCTCTGCCCTAACCTCCCCCAACTGCCCTCATCTGTAAGTGTACAATTTTTGTTCAGTCTCTTCCGTACCCCCCTGAGAATTATCAATACCTTTCCATTCTATGCACCTGTCTATTATATTCACCATTTATTCTGTTCCTCAGATTTTTAATTCACTTGATTTTTAGATCCACTTGTTGATAGATGTGTATTTGTTGTTCATAATTTTTATCTTTACCTTTTCTTCTTCTTCCTCTTCTTAAAGAATACCTTTCAACATTTCATATAATTTTGGTTTCGTGGTGGTGAACTCCTTCAGCTTTTTTTTTTTAATCTGTAAAGCTCTTTATCTGACCTTCAATTCTGAATGATAGCTTTGCTGAGTAGAGCAATCTTGATTGTAGGTACTTGCTATTCATCACTTGGAATATTTTTTGCCACTGCCTTCTGGCCTGCATAGTTTCTGTTGAGAAATCAGCTGACAATTATATGAGTGCTCCCTTGTAGTAATGAAATGTTTTTCTCTTGCTGCTTTTAATATTCTCTCTTTGTCTTTTACTCTTGGCATTTTAATTATGATGTGTCTTGGTGTGGTCCTCTTTGGATTTCTCTTGTTTGGACTTTTAAATCTATTTCTTTCACCACATGAGGGAAGTTTTCAGTCATTATTTCTTCAAATTGGTTTTCAGTATCGTGCTCTCTCTCTCTTCTGGCATCCCAAAAATCCAGATGTTGGTACACTTAAAGTTGTCCCAGAGGCTCCTTACACTATCTTCATATTTTTGGATTCTTTTTTCTTTTTGCTTTTCCAGTTGAGTGTTTTTTCCTTCTTTGTATTTCAAATCTTTGACTTCATTCTTGCATTCCTCTAGTCTGCTGTTGGGTCTCTGGATAATATTTTTTTGTTTCAGTTAGTGTATGTTAAATTCTAGTTGGTCCTTTTTCATATCCTCAAGGTCTCGTTAAATTTATTGGCCTTTTCTAGGAAATTCTTGAAAAACCTTATAACCTTGGTTTTGAACTCTATATCCAGTCGTTTGCTTTACTTCATTCTTTCATTTGTGATCTGTTTCCTTGTCTTAGCATTTTCGCGGCTACCCTGAGTTGGTAGGGTAGCTTTGTGTGGTAGGTGTTCTATATGGTCCAATGGGTCAGCCTCCCAGTGGACACTCTTGGTGCACTCCTTCGTGGTCTGTGTGTACACCCTTGTTGTAGTTAAATCTTGATTGTTGTTGGTATCACAGGGAGGAATTAACCTCCAGGCTAATTGGCTGTGAGAACCCACTCTGTCTATAATGGAAGAATTGCTGTGCTGGAGACACGCTTATGGGGCAGGACTTGTTTCAGTGGGCCTTTGGTGTTCACTGATTCTGCCTCTTGAATGTGTCACTTATGGATATGAGGAGTTGAAATCTGGTGTCTCACACCGACACTCAGTATACTGGTTTCTGGATCTCCAATGGGGTGCAGGTCACCTACTGTCTGAGGCCATCCAACAGAAGATAGAACAAAAACTATAGTTTTCTCTTCTTGGTTGGTGTTTGGAGGTTTTGGAGCTGTCTGACCAGAGCTTCAGTTTGTTTGGTTAAGCTGCAATAGGGCAGGTTATTTATATGCAAAAGCCACTGTGTGAAGATTGGGTGAGTTTGTAGATTGTTTGGGGCAAAGTCTCAGGGTGTAACTAAGCTAGGGTGTGGCAAAAATCTGAAATTTTGGGGTGCCAGAAGAATAGAGAGAGCAAGATACTGATAACCTATTAGGAGAAATAATAACAGTAAACTTTCCCCACCTGGTGAAAGAAATAGATTTAAAAGTCCAGGAAGCACGCAGAACCCCAAATAAGAGGAATCCAAACAGGACCATACCAAGACACATCATAATTAAAAGGGCAAAAGACAAAGAGAATCTTGGAAGCAGCAAGAGAAAAATAGTTAATTATCTATAAGGGAGTACCCATACGAATGTCAGCTGATTTCTCAACAGAAACTATGCAGGCTAGAAGGGAGTGGCAAGAAATATTCAAAGTGATGAACACCAAGAATGCTGAATGGTATTCTTTAAGAAGAGGAGGAAGAAGAAAAAGGTAAAGATAAAAATTATGAACAACAAAAAGACATCAAATACATACCTACCAACAAGTGAATCTAAAAATCAAGTGAATAAAAATTCTGAAGAACAGAATGGACTGGTGAATATAATGGAATCAGAGACATAGAAAGGGAGTAGACTAACAATTCTCAGGGGGAAGGGGTCTTAGGGGTGTGGAAAATGGACAAAAATCTTACACCTATGGATGAAGACAGTAGTGGGGTGTAAAGGCATAGGGTAAGGTGGGGAATCAGGTGGTGGGGAGCTAAGGGGGGGGGGAAAGAGGAACACCTGTAATAATCTGAACAATAAAGATTTATTTTTTTAAAAAAGGAAATAATTATAAAATAAAATAGTATACTGATAAATGTTAAATAACTCCCCATTATTAATAAATATCTTTAAAACAGTAACAAAATAGTTCTTTAACTGGCTAAGAAATATCTTTTCTAAATCAACAGCCAACATCCTAATTAATGGTGAGACACAAAAGATGTTATTATTAAAGCAAAATCAAGAACTGCTCAAGCTTCTAAAACAGAGGCACAACTATAGGAAATTTCATACAATTCACTGGGACAGAATACAGAAGTTTAATACATAAATGTTAAGGAGGAAATGGCAAGAAAAGAAAGTTAAAAGATTAAGGGTACTTTTGTTGGTTTTTCATTTTTAATATCATGTGAACTTTAACATAATGTCCTGTTCAGAGGGGGGTCATTACATCATCACCATATGTCTTTTTTCTTCTAACGTCTATTTTTAACCTATCTTAATTATATCTTCTTATGTGTGGTTTTCCATTGATTTTTAAAGAAAGGGGAAGGAGGGAGAAGGGATAGAGAGACAGAAACATGGGCCCTGACCAATTTGGCTCAGTGGATAGTGTTGGCCTGAGGACTCAATGGTCCCAGGTTTGATTCCAGTCAAGGGCATGTACGTTGGTTTTGAGCACATCCCAGAAGGGGGTGCACAGGAGGCAGTTGATCAATGTTTCTCTCCCATTGATGCTTCTAGCTCTCTATCCCTCTCCCTTTCTCTCTGTAAAAAAATAATAAAATATATTAAAAAAAAAGAAAGCAACATGGATCAACTGCCTCCTGCATACCCTCTCCTGGGGATGGAGCCTGAAACCCAGGCATGTGCCCTGACTAGGACTCGAACCATGACTTCCTGGTTCATAGATCGATGCTTAATCACTGATCCACACCAGTCACAGTTGTTTTTGCTAGCTAGCTCTGAGCTCCTGGAAAGCAAAGAATGTTGGATTATAGGTATTCAGGGCTCAGCTGTAGGCAAATTTACACCTTTCCACCCTGAGAAATAAAATACCTACTGAGAAAGACTCCTAATGGCACATTAGGCCCAAATTTATAAGGAGTTTACTAGTTGTTGCCAAACAGGAGCTTCTCATCCCGTCAGCACTTCTGGGTAAAGTTGCACTGAGCTGCCTGCCTCCTGCACTGTGTTCCTGCCACCTGAACTAACCCTTATAAAAAAGGGATGGAGCGGGAAGAGGTAATGGAGGCCTCCTGGATGAGGGGCCTTAACAGTGGGGAGGAGAGGCGTCCTCCGAGGTAGTGGGACTCAGCTCAAACCCCGTGGTGCCCTCCTCTTTCTGGTGTAAGGCACTGTGTCAAGGGAGAATTGTGACTGGCTGAGGGGGCGGGAGGTGGGACAGAGGTGTGGGTCAGCAAAGGATCTGGCGGGGTTCTCCACAGGCCCAGTGCCGTACCCACACAGCCTCATCACACCCCCACTTGCTGTGGGCACTCCTCTGTGCCCCCGCACCACAGCGGATGCTGCTCCTCCCCGCCTCCCCTGCCTTGGTACTCTTCACCAGGCAGCAGCGGGAAGCTCTGGAAGCTCTGAGAAGCAGAGACATGGCCTCTGAGAAACAGAGACATGGCCTCCTCCACCCTCTCCCAGGAAGCAGTACCTATACCACCCCCTGCTTCCCGCCATTCCCCCGTGGTGCTGATCCAACAAAGCCCCGGGTCAACGGACTGGGGTGTCATCTGCTCCCACAGCCCTGGTGCCCTGGGGATGCTTGGACCAATCCTGTAGGCACCTGACTGCCCGGGACTCCTTCCACCCGGATGACCTGGAGATCCAGAGTCAGACGAAGGCCGGAAGGGGGACCTGGAGAGGGGCTCTCCAGCGGGGGGAGGCCTCCTTCAGCTGCCGGCCCCTTCCTGGGGGAGTCCTTGCCGCCTGCGTCCCTCAGCTGGGTGTGGGGAAAGAGCTGCAGGACGAAGCCGGGAGGGAAGCTGCCATCAGTGAAGTGTCGCACCGGGAGGAGGGGGGGGGGGGGGAAGGCGACAAGGGGTCTGAATCAGAGTCCGGGTCCGGGTCCGGGTTTTTGGTCACGGATCTGCTTCTCTTCTTTCTGGCTGGCTCTTCCTCAGCGGGCTCCTTCCACCTCTGACTCCCAGACTTCTTACTTACTGGCTCTGTGGCAGGGGCAACTGGAAGCTCAGGGGGGCGGAGTCCCCTGGGCCGGGTCCTTCTTGGGAGGACTGTGCTGTCCTCGGAGTCAAGGAGAACGACAATCTCTGCTGGCATTCTGGCAGGGTCCGGGGCAGAGTCAGGGTCTGCACTGACATCCTGGGCCGAGTCTGAGCCGGGTGGGGATGGCTGGTCAGCGCTGACGTCTTGCAAAAGGGCCACCCCCTGGCTCCAGGCCTCCAGGATGCTGCTCTTCTCCGAGGGGCTCAGGTCCAGGGTGTGAGGGTGCTGCTCCAGGATGTGCGCGCGCGCGCGCGCGCCCTGTCCGCCGAGGGGAAGGGGATCTCGGCCCCACACACCATGCCCAGCGCCCGCCCGCTGCCTTCCGGGCTGCTCCCCACCAGGAACCCTGCTCCCAAGTCATCTGCAGCCTGGGCTCCTCACAGCCACTGCCGCCTGCTTCCAGCAGGCAGGGCCTGGGCGGCGAGTCTTCTCCTGCTGAACCACTCGCAGCATCGGCTCGGGCCTCGGGATCAAGGCCACCAGCCTCCTCGCCCTCCGCCTGCTTGTATTTGAGCATCACCTTGAAGCAGTCCAGCGCGGTGCCCTCGGCCTTGAGCGCCATGGTGCAGCTGGGCTCCGCAGGACAGGCCCGCCGCCCCTCCCCGCTGCCGCCGGGCCCCGCGCTGGCCATGCCCGGGGCCTCCCCGTGACCAGGAGCGAAGGGACCCAGGCGGGGAGGGCTCTAGCTATGAATTATTAAAAAAAGTATTAATTATGCTCTGTTAACCCTGATTGTTTAGTTCTGATTAAAGAAAGCACATTCTAATTTGGCTGGGACTTGTACACCCATTCCTCAACCCCCATACCCTTGGACCTTGGAGTCAACCTTGGAATGTGGTCCTATTATCATGGAAAGATTTGCCCAAACAATGAGGTCCCACCTGAGCCTACAGGGCCTGGAATCTTTTACCATTATTCCTATATTTATCCCCTTTGCGTACTTCTCCATGTAATCTTTGTCTTACCCCATGTAAGCAGCTGGTATGGGGGGGGGGCGGTTACAAAGCAGATTTTCATGGATGACCTGCTCTTCTACCCACACTGCCAGTATTATTGGAATAAATGCTCAAATATGATTCAACTCTGTGTACTTCATTGGCTCAAGTAGTGACCAGCAGCCCAGACCTATGGGTTGCCAGGGTTCAGAAATGTAAGTATATACTATTTTACTGCTCCAGCAAGAGAAAGGAAGATTTCCTCCCTTGCCCAGCAACTCAGCTGATGGGAAACCATCACCCCCCTGAACTCTCGCTTTCCTCCAATGGACTTTCTTTCAAAAATACCCTACCCAGCTTCCTCCTTTTTCTCTATAGAGTAGCGTTCCTCTCTTTTGCTTGTGGATTCCCCTATGGTTTTAAAGGTGAACCCCGAAACACACTGCGGACTCCCCTTCTCACTGATAGGAGGCCCACACTCTCATGTGGCCCACACGTCCCTGTGCGTCCAGCCTGGCTGTCTGTCTAGCCCTCCCCCTGGCACACCGCCCTTTGCCTATTCATCCCAGCTGTGCTGACCTCATGTGGTCTTAGCCACAGAGTTTGCTCTTTCCTCACAGCCTCTGCCAGCTGCTCCCTCTGCCTGGAGTGCCCAGCCCCCAGGTGCCCTGCCACCAGGCTGTCGCCCCGCTGGTGCAATGCCCACCGTGTGCTAGGGCAGCTCTAAGCAATGGAGAGGCATCGGATCTAGTTATGGCCTCCTCACATCCTGCAGCTTAGGGCTGACGTGATACTCTCTGGTGAGGTCTTCCCAGGCCTTCAGTGTAAACACGCCTCACCCCCTGCAGGAGATACCCCGTGAACACTGCTATACTGCCCTACGTGACTTTTGGTAACAATAACCTGTAACTAACCCATTATATACACTGAGTGGCCAGATTATTATAATAATCTGAACACATAATAATCTGGCCACTCAGTGTATATATTCAGGCTCAGTGCATGAATTCGTGCATGGGTGGGGTCCGGCCAGCCTGGCCAGGGGGTAGGGGACATAGGCGGTTCGCCTGTCTGTCTGCTGGTCAAACTTCTGGTTGCAGGGATAATTTGCATATTAGCCTTTTATTATATAGGATATATACACTGAGTGGCCAGATTATTATGTGTTCAGAGATCACAACCATCTGGCCACTCAGTGTATTTAGCCCTACCTTGTCTTTTTATCTGTACTCCCTACCCTGGACTAGAACATCGGCCTTGGTTACTGTTGTATTCTCAGTGCCCGTAGCAGGGGCAGGCACACAGTAGCCACTCTGTGAGTGTTTGTTGAACACATTTATGGAGTCCTTCAGTTCTGAGTGCCTTCCGTGAACCATCCCATTCAACCCTGTTATCCGTTCTGTGAAGAGGAGGGTCTATGGGCCCATTCCACTGAAGGAAAACGGAGGCTCAGAGGGTACAGCCACTCTCCCGAGTATGCACAGCTTGCAGCAGAGCTTCTCTGCCTGCCTGGGCCTCCTGGCTCCCATGCCAACCAGCCAGAGGCCGCTGCACTTGCTGAGGGGGCAATGGAGCAGGGAGGGCGGCTCAGCCACAGAGCACACCTGCAAATGCTGGGGTGGGGCAGCCACAGGCGGGTGCTCAGAGGACCAGCCTCGGGGCGGGTTGAGGGCTGCCTGTCTTTCTCTGTAAATGGTCTCTGGGAGGAGTTCATGTGCTTCTCAGAGTGAGTGTTTTAAGGACCAAGTTGGGTTTTATTTATTTATTTTTAAAAAATGTTTTTTATTGATTTCAGAGAGGAAGGGAGGGGGAGAAACATCAATGATGAGAGACTGCCTCCTGCATGCCCCCTACTGGGGACCAAGCCTGCGCCCCGGGCATGTACCCTTGACTGGAATCAAACCCAGCACCCTTCAGTCCGCTGAGCAAAACTGGCTAGAGACCAAGATGGGCTTTAGATTTATGTTAATTTATAAGGGACAGTAGTAATTTTTCCCAGAAAATTTTATTTTCAATTATTTTTGTTTCTTAAAAGATTAAAATAATCTGAAACTGGTTTGGCTCAATGGATAGAGTGTTGGCCTGCGGACTGAAAGATCCCAGGTGCGATTCCGGTCAAGGGCATGTACCTTGGTTGTGGGCACATCCCCAGTAGGGGGTGTGCAAGAGGCAGCTGATCAATGATTCTCTCTCATCGATGTTTCTGACTCTCTATTCCTCTATCCCGCTCTCTTCCTCTCTGTAAAAAATCAATAAAAATATATTTTAAAAAGATTAAAATAAAATTCAAATAACATAGAATTAGTCATTTTAAGGTGTACAATTTGGAAACATTTAACGCTTTCACCATGATTTGCAACCTTCACTTCTATTCTATATAATAAAAGCATAATATGCTATAATAAGTGTCTGACCAGTGGGCAGATGCGCTGACCGGTAGGATAGCTGGCTGCTGGGGTCCAGCTGACAGAGACTGGGTGAGACTGGCCGAACATGCCTTGGAGCCCTCCCACTGTCCAGACCCAGTTAGCCAACCTCCCTGTCCCTCCCCAGCTGGCTGGCCCCTATCGGCCCCAATGGGGACTGGGCAAGATGGCCCGGATCAGGCCCGATCGCCAGCCAGGCAGAGGGACCCCACCAGTGCATGAATTCATGGACCGGGCCTCTAGTCTGGTTATAAAACATCGTCACTCCAAAAGGGAAGTCCATATTCATTAAGCAGTCACTCTCCATTCCTCCTCCCCCAGCCCCTAGTCACTGCCAATCTGCTTCCTGTCTCTGTGGGTTTATCTATGCTGGATGTTTCATGTAAGTGGAATCATAAAATTTGTTTGGCTTCTTTCCGTCAGCATAATTTCAGGTTCACCTATGTTGGAGCATGGATCAGAATGAGGAGGCTAGAGCCTAATCCTATCTAATAAAAGAGTAATATGCAGATTGACCATCACTCCAACACACAATAGCTGCCCCTTGTGGTCAAAGATCCTTTCCCCTTATGAACACAAGATGGCCTCCACAAGATGGCCAGCAGGGGAGGGCAGTTGTGTGTGATCAACTCTGCAAGGGAGGGAAGTTGTGGATGATCAGGCCAGCAGAGGAGGGAAGTTGGGGGCAAACAGGCTGACAGGGGAGCTGTTAGACATTAATCAGGCTGGCATGGGAGTGGATAGGGGGTGATCAGGTTGGCAGGCAGAAGTGGTTAGGGGCAATCAGGAAGGCAGGCAGGTGAGCAGTTGGGAGCCAGCAGTCCTGGATTGTGAGAGGGATGTCTGACTGCCTGTTTAGGCCCAATCTCAGTGGCACATCCTAAACAGGCAGTCAGACATCCCTCGAGGGGTCCCAGATTGTAGAGGGCGCAGGGTGGCGTGAGGGACACCATCATCCCCTCCCTGTGTGCATGAATTTCGTGCACCGGGCCTCTCATTTTTTCTATAACAGGGCAGCACTGTTATCTTGTAATCTTGTAGTCTGAAATGGGATGCTTTGATGGCACTCCATTCTGTGGTAGCAGACAGATCTTTCTGTAGGCATTTAATAGATGAAAGGGCTAAGGCAGAGAGGAAAGAGTAATTAGCTCCTCTGAGGTCACTTAACGCTGTGGACACGGAGAAAATGGCAGAGATAGAAACACAGAAGCATGAAACTATAATACACAGCCACCCCTTTGAATGAATTTAAACTGCTCAGTCATGTCAGGGTTATGCAACTACTTTCTATTAATTTTGTATTTTTGTCAATCTTTCTTCCATGAAAACTGAACGGTATCTGCATTGTGCTACAGTTGTGGGATCTACGGGCTGGTACTTGTTACCCAATTTAATGAAAACATCTGTTTGTTGCTTAGTTCCCCATGAAGCATAGTGACCTCTATTTTGTAAAAACTGCTGTTTGAAGTTTCCACTAGACATAAACAGTCCTTTGTTTTATGAATTAATTCTGTTGTTAGTGGCTTCTGTATCAATTGACCTTGCAAGCCGCTCTGCTGTTGTCCCTAGCTACCCCTCCCCATGCCAGGTGTCTCTTAGTTATCTGTACTCAAGGTTACAGGCTTCCTGCAAGATATCTGCCAAGCATAGCTAGGGCTCTTTTGAAAACATGAAAAAGGGAGGAAGCCCTAGACAAAAACATTAGAAAAATACAAAAAGCAAAAACTTCCTCCACGTCTTTTGCTCAGAATTTGAGACATATTCCTCTGAGCCCGCTGGTGTAATAAAGCCGTGTAACTCCATTTCTCTAAGTGTTGCTTGGTTTTTCTCCCATCTTCTGTAACAAGTACAGCATTCCTTTTTATGACTGAATAATATTCCACTGTATAGATATACCACATTTTGTTAATCTATGTATCCAATAATGGACATTGGGTTGTTTTGTGTTACTTAATGTTTCATTTAAATAATATTTTTATTGATTTCAGAGAGGAAGGGAGAGAGAGAGATAGATAGATGGAAACATCAATGATGAGAGAGAATCATTGATCGGCTGTCTCCTGCACACTCCATACTGGGGATGGAGCCCACAACCCCGGCATATGCCCTTGACTGGAATTAAACCTGGGACCCTTCAGTCACCAGGACAGCACTCTATCCACTGAGTCAAACCAGCTACAGCTGTTTTGTGTTACTTTTAA